GCTTGTCTGTTGTAGTGGAAGCATCTTGACGGCCTTGATGACGCCCAAGCTCGCGGAGCTTGGACGTCGGCGATGGAGCGGAGATATGCCGGCATTAAACTTACGTCACGTGGACTCGCGTTTCATTCGTGCAAATGTCCTCCACCTCGGACTAGACAAGATGACTAAGAGATAGAGATGACGCCACACGCCCACAACTACCATAAAGCACCCTAAGTGACATGATACCTGAACTGATTGTTCAGGTCAAACTATTTCCTCGACATATCCTGTGCCACCATGCCCCTCACATATCCAGCCACTTTCTCAGCAACTGGTACCCCATGTCTAATACAGAATCCATGTGGCCATCCCTCTGTATGGTCAATTTCCATGATTGGCTTCCAGTTCTCTCCCATACCATCCACCTCCTCTACATCACCTCTACCATATCTGCCGCGGTTGTTAATCAACGCATCTCGTGTGGCATCCGCAACCCAATGATCAGTGCGTGCAAACAAGAAACGCAAAATAGGTCGTGGGTGAGGATGCTTCGTTGGCGGCTCGGAGGCGGAGGCTCCCCAGATTTCCTCATCCCAAATGTCGGTGTCGATTTGGAACATTTCATCGCGCGCCATGTGTAGCGCTTGCTGGACGCCGTGTGGGGACTTGATGAATGCTGCAGTCGTATAAGCAGCATCTGGAGGAAAGTCCATGACCTTTGCTACAAGTGTAGCTATGAGAGATACGGGAAGTACGAATGTTAAAAAGTACACAAAGAGCGCAGCGAACACTGAGAAATTGGAGTGCTTGAGAAACGGCTGCATCACATGGTTAGTAGCGTTTCGGTAGATAAAGCAGTAACATGGACATACAGCAGCCTTCATCCCACTCTCGCTCCGAGCAATATCCACGACTGTAGGGAACAGCCCTACGGCACCAACGATTCTTGTCTCGAAATCGTCACCTGCCAGGCCATGTGCCCTCAGCCTGCGAATGATTTCTAATGAGATATATGCGCCGACCGAGTGCCCCACTAGGATTACTCTCACGTCCTTTGCACCCTGATCTTTGACCTCTTCCACCAAGTCCGTCAACTCGTCCTCGGCGTGTCGGATTTGGTCTTGCAGTCCGTATGGCGGCTGCTTACGCCATTTCATCGTCTTAATCTCCTTGGTGTTCATTTCAAAGCCGGACAGACTCCTTCCATACACCTGAAATTCAACATCGCGATCAGATGCTGTATTATGGCTCAACACGCCATAAAGATGGGTCAAGAAAGTACGGTAATACTCCACGAGTCCTGGGTTACCAGTAACAAAGTAGATGATGTAGATCCGCGAGGCCGATTTTTTGCCTGGTTCCGGTGGGGTGCGGAGATGTATCAAGGAGGCTGGCGGGGAAGACATTGTGATGTCTCAATCTAGGATAATATATGGGATTAATAGAGAGGATGCAGGAAGACAGCCTCTGCGAGCGATTTTATGGGCGTCTTTTGATATCTTGGCTGCGCTAGGTTCAACCCTAGTTGATGCAGATGCGCTATGCCTTTTCTGGGATGGCTCGAATTGGAGACATCCAGACCCTGAGAAAGAGTCCAGGTGAGATTGCCTACATGTTTTCTTCGCACAGACGTGCCACAAGACAACAGTTTTTAGAGTCTCTTCACAACATTCTGGAAACTGTTATATGCAATTGTTCAACAAGATCTAAATGGGTATCACTATCGGGATTCATACTCTCGACCGACCTTCCCTTTGCAGCCACCGATGGCACCAGTTGGGGCAAGGTTCACTCTATCTTGAGGAACAGCTCCATGACACCCACCATCCTCTCCTTTTGTGCAGCCTTTTCCTTCTCCTTGCTACCATCTTTCCACCTCACTAAACAGTCTGAAAATACGACTGCATAGTTTCTCACAATGAGCTGCCGAATCGCCACCTCAGGCACTTTGCTTAGGGTCTTTCTCCTGACATGGGCTTGCGGACTAGAAGGAAGACTCATGTCTGCACTTGCTCTCTTATCGTTGGAGCCCTCCGGACGTGGCTTCGATGCTTGTGTAATCTGATTTGCAATGTTGTGAAGAAAAGAGAGAATGAGGAGAAACGTGGCGTTGTGATTGGGCGCTGAAGCAAGGATCTCCAGGATAGTCATTTTATCGTCGTCTGGAGAAGCCGGTGCATTGGACTTTTCACGGCGGATAAGTGCTTCTTCCAGTCTTTCCCATAGACTCTTCGTGATGACGCCATCGGTGAGGCTGGAAAGGAAGGTGACGAGGACTTCGGCCAATACCTCCGTTCGTTCTGTACTACGAGTCTCTGGGGAAAAGGCATCGGTGAAAGGTGTGTCACAGTCTAAAGCATCATAGACCTCTGCGAGCTCATCTTCCCTCTCTTTACCCAAACTAGTTCGCCCTTTGACAAAAGGCCATCCTGCGTTGTCTTGCCAAGGTGCCCTCTCTCCTTCAGTCTTTGTCATCTCCCATTCGGCGAGCGTCCGTTCCGTCAGGTCTTCTATCGCCTCGGTCAGCCGGAAGATCTCCCTAGGCACGCTCCATTTTACCTCGCCACGGGCAGGTATTTGGTGCTGCAACTTGCGGATACCACCCTCCGGGATTTTGATCAATTTGTCAATGGACCTGGCAAGCACAGAAGGCAGCCAATGAGCGCGGATAGGCAGAAAGTGATCTCTTCCGTTTTCGATGCGCAGGACAAGAATTTCGTCTAGGGCCGAGTCACCTTCATTGAGATCACGTACGAAACTCAGGTTCTCAATCTTGAGTCTCAGCTCGACGTTTAGGACATCGGCAGGTTCGAGGGTGAATTGCTGCTGAACATCATCTAGCGCTGGCAGGTCGAGTGTGTTTTGGTCCTTGTCGAATGCCACACCGAGCCAATGAGGAAAGGGCCCGGCAGACTGGCCTTTCTCTACTGGACGATTTGCAAACCCAAAAGTGGCTGGGACACGTCCAGTATTGGCTATGGTGATGTTACGTCGGTAGGACTTTGCAAATTTGACCTCGCCGAAGTCGACTCCCTCAAATGCGCTGTCTGTTTTCTTCTCCTCACCGGGTGAAGATGAACCAGTAGTACGTTCCACTGCTACAGCAATGGAAGGCCGACCCTCGTTCTCTTGGCGGTCAATCTCACGAGCGACTTCAGCGTGGATAGCTGTTTTGAGGTCAGGGACAACGGAATCATACTGGAGCCGGAAGACGGCATCTAGTGGTTTATGATCGGAACTGAGAATGTGCATGTGAGTGGTGTAGTACTCTAGCAATAGTTCAGCCTAGTAGGGTCCAGTTAGTAAGATGCGGTAATGTAGTAAGATTTGTGGCATCATTATAGACATACAGATAAGTCATCTTTTGTCTTGATTGGCTCCGGCTCGGGCGTCTCGTTCTCGTCATAATCATCGTACGTCGTGCCATCTGTGTCTGGGTCGTACTCGTACATGACATCGTAATCTCCTGGAACGTTCAAGCCCTTTGATGAAACTTCTTCGGCTATTCGACGTGCAGCCTCCTTTTCCTTTTCCTTGGCCTCATACTGTTGCTTGGATGCTCGGGTTCGATATATGATGCGGTCGCACCAGCTAGGACAGCGACGCTTCTCGCTCGAGTCAAAAACGCCAACTTTGCCTATATCGTACTTGTAGGACGGTAGGAATTGGATGGGGCCTTCTTCCCAGCCATCATGGAAAGCTTTTCCTTGCTTCATGACTTGGTGCAGCTCATCGTGTGGCAGCAGAGATGAGAGGGTAGTCTGTAGCGAGGCTGGATCCAGTTCATCAGGCACAGGAGCCGTGTCGCGTGTTTGTTCAGACGATTGTCTCGAATCATATCCTAAATTAGCGGACGTGGAAGGCCTACTTCGGCTCTCTTGTGAGTCCAGGTCTTGGGTATGAATTGTCAGTAAGCGGCGCACGTCGTCTCCTGGCATGCCTTCGAGGCGATAGTTCAAGTCGCCGAACCAAAAAGCAAAATCCTCATCACCAAGACCTTCGCCACTAGACTGTGAAGGGCCCAAACCACCGACGATAGGGTCGAAGCGAGTGCGAGTGGTGATTTGGGCAGCATCCCAGTTCCTTCGGTCTAAGGATGCTTTGTCGGCACCAGCTGCAAGATGTGAATTTATAAAGACAAGGCGTGTCGTCTCACCCAAGACAATGCGCGTCGTCACAGCACCCTTGTTGCCCATGTAACCCATGAGACCTGTACCAACGCTCGTGGTGCTGACATTCTTGATCTGAGGGAAGATTTGTGGCGAGGCGTAGATGGCCAACCACAGCCCGATAAGCTGCTGATCTGCCACCAGCTTGTAGCCCTTGGGCAAGGCAGCTTCGAGCTGGGCTTTCCATCTGTTTACGGTTGAAGGATCGGTAAAGGGCCTCAAAGCCTCGGCGGCCGATGTGATGTCGACAACCTCCTGCAGGCCTAACACATAGATGTCGATATCCTCTCCGCCGGGCACAGTTACTGCATCATGAGAGCCGGTATTCGACACGCCCAACCCGCCATGGGCCCCGTCCACACCGCTGCCCTTGATAAACCATTTGCCAATGTCTTGCTCTGTGCCTTTTTGGGCGGCCGTGTTCCAGGAGCCGACCTTGATGCGCACAGTCTGCGGGCGCGTGTACTCAGCACGACGGTCGTATAGAGCCTGGGAGAGGGACGTCTGTTGTGTGGCGACGGATGCGATGCTCGGCGAGCGCGGGTCAAGAAATGCGCCGGGAATGGTGGCATCCAATCGCTCTGTCGACTGCACAGAGGCGGCTCCAGATGTCATGACGGGGTGGAGGCGAGGAGAGCGAGAAGAGCGAGGGCGGTTGCTGGTGCTGGTGCAGTGACGCCATGGTAGGAGTGGAGATTTGGAAGCACGGGGAGGGTAAGCGGGCGCCTGGCAATGACGACGCTGAGGCTGTTGTGCTGTGGCTGTGGTGGTACTAGGTGGGGCCCAAGCTTGTCGTGGGATTATTGTTCAACACTAACGGCCGCCGGCTGTGTTCATACATACTTACTTACATGCTTCATAGTATACTATACATACATGTGTATACGCAAATAACACCACAACACCATGGCGCCACACCGCAAAGCCCGCGCCAGCCAGCCCCAGCAGCCGCCGCCCTCGGACTATGAGACCGATGCCATACCTTCAGTCGACGTGCCCCTCCCCCCGCCGCGTTCCAACGAAGAGCTCAACTTGTCGGTTCTCCGCCGCCAGTATCCCGCCCTTGCCTCCATTGAGCATGTCACCCCCTATGCCGCTCTATACACTTTCAACCTCGAGACGCAGCAGTGGGAGAAGATGGGCGTTGAGGGCACCCTCTTTATTTGCCAGCTCACACCCTCGCCCATGGGCGCCGAGCGCTACTGCGCCATCATCCTCAACCGCAGAGGACTCGACAACTTCTACGAGGAGCTCACCAGCAGCGACGAAATGGAGATCTCGGATCCCTATGTCATCATCCAGGGTGAGCAAGTTTACGGCATCTGGATCTTTGCTGATCCGCCGCCCTCGTCGACGGCAAACTGCCGCCAGGAAACGGCCGCTAAGATGATGGCCGTCGCCGACAAGGCCAAAGCAAGCCGTGCCGCTCTCCATGGTTCACCAGACCCCGTATCTTCCACCCCCATGGGCCGCCAACTATCGCTGCGAGAGCTCTTTGGTCAGCAACGTGAGCAGGATGCCGACTTTAGCTTGCACCACCACGACAGCCACCCTATGCCGAGCATGCACCATCCGCCACAGCAGCAGCCATACATGGCTCATGCCGGTCCTGCGCAACCAGACGTGCTAGGTCAGCTGTTCATGCGCGCAAAGCAAAACCACAATGGCTTAGGGTGATGTGTTTCCGCTCAATGGATATGTCACGCACGCCCGCTCGAACGCACAAGTCTTTGTACCATCCGGAGCGCGCCTATCGATACATGCCGGCAAATAGACTCCAGCGTCGCATCACGCTTGTTCAGTGATATACAGGTCCTGCCAAGACGCATCTCCATGCCTTCGACGTACTCCCTTGGCTGACCTGACAAACGGAGAGCAAACATCAGCAGCTTGTCTAGGCCTCCTGTTCATCCAGACTCAGTGATTTGGTACTTTACTCAAGGGTGTATAGTATCTATTGCCAGAGAAACCTAGTGAATACAGAATGCTGGTCATCATCTACACAGCATCATCAACGCAGGTCTGTTCGGGTACATCCACTAGACCATGACATTGTTCAGTGCGATTCTTTCACGTTGGTAATTGATAGTCAAAAAGATACCCGTTTTCAAGATGAATCTTATCGTTCAAAATCGCAAACGTTCGGTGTTACACCAACAGTCAGTCTTTTCGCGTTCTAATACCACGCGTCGATGGTTTATTGATAAGGCTAGCTAGCAATGACCTCACCCCTCCCGTACACCCCTGTCATTTACCCCACGGCGGGGCATCCACTGTCCCAAAAATTTCCCGTCGCAACAGTCCAACATCACAAACGCACAACACTGCACCACTCAGACTGAATCGCATACCATGACAGAAAGTGTCCGAATTCTCCTTGTTGGCAATGGTGGCCGTGAGCACGCTTTGGCCTGGAAATTGCTGCAGTCGCCTTCGACTGAGCACATTTACGTTTGCCCTGGTAACGGAGGGACCGCAACCCTTTCGTCAAAAGTTACCAATGTCACACACATCAAGGACACCGATTTCGCCGGCCTTGTCGAATTCGCTAAGGAGAAGCAAGTGAACTTGTTAATACCAGGACCTGAGGCACCGCTAGTTGCAGGCATTGTAGATTACTTCAAAGAGAATGGACTCGAGAGCACCAAGGCGTTTGGCCCTTCAAAAAAGGCCGCAACCATGGAAGGCAGCAAGACGTTTAGCAAGGACTTCATGAAGCGACATAACATTCCCACTGCAGCCTACGAAAACTTTAGCAAATACGAGGATGCCAAAGCCTACCTGGACACCATCTCACACTCGGTAGTGATCAAGGCCTCGGGCCTGGCAGCAGGAAAGGGTGTCATCATACCCCAGACCAAGGAGGAAGCCCACGCGGCGCTCAAAGACATCATGTTGGATCGTGAGTTTGGCGCAGCGGGCGACGAGGTGGTCGTTGAGGAGTTCCTCGAGGGCGATGAATTGTCGATTCTTACTTTCAGCGACGGCCGCACCATCAAGTCTCTCCCGCCTGCACAAGACCACAAGCGCATTTTCGACAACGACCAGGGCCCCAACACTGGAGGCATGGGCACGTATGCTCCAACGCGCATCGCACCACGTGAGGTCCTCGATCGCGTCGACAAGGAAATTCTACAGCCCACTATTGACGGCATGCGAAGCGAGGGCTTTGAGTTCAAGGGAGTGCTGTTCACCGGCCTGATGATGACCAAGGATGGACCAAAAGTACTTGAGTACAACGTCCGCTTTGGCGACCCCGAAACGCAGAGTCTATTGGCGCTTATGGAGGGCGACCTTGCCCAGGTTATGGTCGCATGCGCAGATGGACGGTTAGCAGATGTTGATGTCAAGGTGTCCAACCGCTCCGCCGCTACCGTGGTAGTTGCGGCCGGCGGGTACCCAGGCAGCTACGCAAAAGGCACAGTCATGAAGCTAGATGCTACACCAGAAGGTGAACTACGATCTCATTATTCTTAAACTAACTGTACGGGCTGTGCTAACTATAGACAGATGTCGTACTGTTCCATGCCGGAACTTCCTTCTCCGACAACACACTCAAGACGTCTGGTGGGCGCGTCATCGCATCCACAGCGACTGCGCCTACGCTTGAGGAAGCCGTGGCAAAGGCCTACAAGGGTGTCGAATGCATACACTTTGAGGGCATGCAGTACCGCAAGGACATTGCTGGCCGGGCGCTGAAGAAGCACTAGAAAAAATGCGAATTAGGGAAATCATTGGGCAGTTGGCGTTGTTTTATTTTTGGACGAAGGGCGAGAATACCACACATACACCCGGGTCAGTAGCAAAAATTCTAGGCATCTACAATGGAGTCTCCTACCTTGCTATTGTATACATTGCATCAATACAAGTTAGGTCCTGGGAAGTGCTCCTATCAGTAAAAACGCTTGTTTTCTTGCAAATGGAAGAGCCGTGATGTTGTGGCATGAGGAAATCAGCCCCGGTTCTACCCTCTCAATCGTTGTCGTCGCTCGAGGATCTGGGCTATGTCTCTCTTTTCTTCTTCTTTTCCTTTTTGTGTTTCTTCTGCTCGGGTGAAGTGGACTCGTCTTCCTTTTTCCGCTTCTTACTTGGGGCGTTGTCGTCGTCGTCTATCTTGTCCTTGGCACCAGACTCGCCGCCGCCGCCGCCACCATTTACAGCTGGAGTATCTGTACCTTGATTGGCCTTGGCCTTTTCTTCTTGCTCTTTAAGCCGTGCCACCCTCAGCTCGTTCTTCTGTCGTATTGCGTCCTTTAGCACGGGGCTGTCTCGCTTGAGGGCGTCGGCTGCAGCTGCAACGCCGGCTTGGACTTTGTTTTGACCTTCGCCGCTACCGAGCCACTCGTCTGTGTAGCCCCACCCTGTGAGATATATCCCCATGTGATAGCACTGGACGCTGTTGGAGTCGTACGTCATGGGCTTTTCCTCCTTTGTGATGAGCTTGACGCCCTTGCCGAGGACCAGCTTATTAAGTTGGTCGCGTGCTTGAGGGTTCTCGATAATCTTCTCCCTGAAGCTGAGCAGCTGTGGCGCCCAGAGTTCTGTGAGCCATGCCTCAGCAGCCTCAAAACCGTGCGTTGGGTCAGAAAGAACGACTGCTGCGACGTAGGCCTCGACCATGTCGGCAACAACTTTATGGTACTGCTTCGAGTTCTTGTCCCACTGGGCCCGGTGCTTCAGTCGATCCGGAAAACCGTACGCTTCGGAGAATTTGCCCAGCGTCGAGTTCTCGACCAGACGTTCGCGCCACATGCACAGCTCCGGAACGTCGACGTGTGGGAAGCGGTTGTAGAGCGCGCGCGAGGCAATGAGCTCGATGTAGGCGTCGCCGAGCAGCTCAAGACGCTCGTAGTCTAGGCTGAGGTCTCCGCCCAGCGAAGAACCAGGGATACTCGGGTCGTAGATTGCGGATCGATGGGTAAAGACGGCTTCGTGGAGGTGGGGCTCAGCTATGGGGGGCAGAGGGGGTAGGTCTTTGGATTCTTGGACTTTGCGATGTATGTAATCGGGAACCGCGACCTGGACGGCCTTGTCGGGTCGCTTTTCGTCGAGTTCGTGTTTTGCTCGCGATGAAGTGCCGTGGTCGCGAGCGCAAAGCCGGCGTCGCAGCTCATTGGCGTGGTAGAGAATTTCCTTATCTGCTCCTGGAGTCGTCTCTTCGGCGACGAACCTGTCCAACAAAGCTACCAGGCCCGTTTGCATATCCGCCGAGGAGAGTTCTGGTTGCGGTGCATTGCGCTGGAGAGGTGGGTTGTGCTTCTTGCTGTGGTGATCGCGGCTATAATGATTGAAACCTCCTCCACGTTTATGTGATGCCATGACGGTGCACGAGTGGCCGACCCGGTCCTAATTTGTTTTTGTTATGGAAGCGGAGGAGGGCATTGACGACCAAAAAGTTGCATGACAGGGCGGCGGGCGCTAGTTGCGGGCGCCAAGGGCACCTCCGCCGACCATTTCACATCGACGGCGCACCCAGTAAGAAGACCAAGTATTCCAAGCACAATGGCAGTCCCACGACATCGGGTACTGGACCTGATGAGGGTATGTTACTTTCTTTTTCACGTGTTTGATCTTCCGGTGTCCAGGTTGTGTATTGGGTCTGTATTCTGACATGGGCGCAGGTCCAGTGCAAGGTCTTCAACACCACATATAATCCCGAACGCCTGCGCCTAGGATCGCGCATCCTTCACCAGCGCCTCAAGGGTCCGTCAGTCGCCTCATACTACCCGCCGCGGATAGGGACAATTCCCCAGTTGCGAAGCCTGTACCCCGAACACCAGATCATAGACGAAGCAGAGGAAGACTGGTTAGAGCATCTGAATGTTGCAAAGTCAAGAGGCAAGGGTGCGCCCAAGAAGAAGAGGACTGCTGCTGGTAGGCACCCACTGATACGGCTTGCTAGTATTGTTGCTGACCCTTTGCAGAATCCAAGAAATTCAACAAGAGGAAGTAGACGGATTGACGGCCTGCCCCTACGGTCTAAATGTACAATACAGAGGCGTATGCAATCATCACACTTTGCGTCTGGGTATCTCCCCGGCCACCCTACAACTTACCCTTGGCTGCCTTTGTCTCGTGTGCTGCCCATTCTCTATCAAACTCATCGTCCCATGCTGTTCGGACAAGACGGTGCTCGGGCTGTACTGGCACATTAACTTTGTGGTGCTCGACTGTGCAGTACGTCGTCTTCCCATCCAGACTGGTCATATCGCCTCTGATCATTGCCATCTGCTTGCCTATACTCACTACTTTACTGTTGAGCCTGACCTTTGCTCCAATCGGCACGGCTTTGAGGTAAGAAATGTTGAGCGAGCGTGTTACGCCGCCCATGAATTCCCAGAAGCCGGGCCGGGCTAGAGGACATAGTGCTGTGGTGGTGGACATGTCGAATATGACGCCTGCAGCCCCGCCGTGCATGACATCTAATTCTCCACTCAGTTTGGGCTGTTGGCTATGACAAAAGACGTACTGTTCAGGTTGGAGAAGTTGGGTGCTATGAACATCTCGTACGTCACTGTTCCGTCGGGCGTGGCATCCACAAGCTCCAAGCTGTCCATGACTTGGTTGTCAAAGTCCTCGGGCTAGTTAGTTCAAGCAACCATGTGTACACCAACTCGCGCAGCTCACAATGTGATCCTTTGGCCGCTTTGCTGCCAGCAGATTGTACTTGTCGAACATGGCGCGTACAGCAGCCATTGCTTTTTGCCGATCAGCCCCTGGGTCACTCATCATGGGCTTACAAAAAGGTAAAGTGCTATGGTAGATACGCGAGATATGTAAGTAAGGATGTGTGTGATCTGGGATATCGGAAAGACGCCCGTTCCCGACGACGCCATCGGCTCCATGGTGTGGTAGTGATGGTGGGCAATCGGCAGGCGGCGCGCTTTGAAGCCTCGGCTCATTCGCTCCAGCATTGCATGATCATCGCCCAAGGAGGGCCCGCCTTGCTCAAGTCACTCCATCCATGTCTCCACCGAAAGGGTTGCCAACCTGTCCTTTTTTTTCTATCGCGCGTCCGTGTCTGTGTGCATGTCCGTGTCGGTGTCCGCGTGCAATGACTCTCGAGCATCTGGCACCCAGGTACAGGTAGTAAGCTCGACCTAGCGGCGTCTGGGACGTCCCACGTTGTTTCATCCTCATGGCTCGCCCTCGTCTAGCGTACGGCGACACTTTGTGTGATGACAAGACTGACACAACGCGCTCCCGCCACCAATAAGCCGAGAACCACAGCCGATCCTATTCTTGGGCCAGCACAGTAACACGCAATTGCTTAGATGTTGGCTTGGTAGCCCGAGCCGTTCTTAACTTCTTAATTGCTTCCCCCCCTCTTCGTCCAGCAATCGCTACGTTGTCTTTAATTAGACGGGCCGCCGCCCAGTAGTACCTGTGTCCACATCACCCTTTGCTCACGCGGTGTCTCGTACAACCAGACGTCACAAGCAAGATTTCACCATGGGCTCAGAGACGGCGCCCGTGTCCGCGACAGTGCGGAAAAGGGTGTTGAAAGTATTATTCATTTCCCTACTGCTTGACTTGGTACGTCATCTCTGGTCGCAACCAACTGAGCGCATGGACTGACAGCCTTGGGCTTTAGATATCATTCACATTCATCCTCCCGCTATTTCCCAAACTAATCGAATTCTACCGTAACCACGAAGCCGACGATCCCAACACGATCCTCTCTAAAATCCTCGCTGGTCTCAACGCATACAAGAACTCGTTCGCGAAGCCCATCAACTCCCGCTATGACATTGTCCTCCTCGGCGGTGCACTCGGCTCGCTCTTTTCCCTCTGCCAGGCAATCGCATCGCCCTTTATTGGTACACTTTCGGACAAATATGGAAGGCGTACTGCACTGCTGTGGTCCATGGCTGGCAACATCTTAAGCGTGGCGTTGTGGGTTGCAGCCACAGACTTCCGGACTTTCCTTGCGAGCAGGATTGTGGGTGGACTGAGCGAGGGCAACGTGCAGCTTGCCATGGCGATTGCTACAGATATCAGCGATGACAGCCAGAGAGGGTCAACAATGGCGCTCGTGGGCGTCTGCTTCAGCATCGCTTTCACGTTTGGACCCGCTCTGGGTGCATATCTCTCGACGCTGCAGATCATGGACAAGAACCCATTTGCCATGGCAGCGGGCTTCTCCCTGTTTCTCATTGTCTCGGAAACAATCTATCTATACGCCAGCCTTCCGGAGACGCTTCCTTCGGCAAGCAAGAGCGAGAATGGCACAGCAAATGGGAAGCCAAAGGACACGGACGCGCCAAAGCCTCGTATCCGGACGAACTCGCACTTTCTTCTTAACGCCACACATTTTACTTTTATCCTATTCTTCAGCGGCATGGAGTTCTCGCTTCCTTTTATGACTTATGACCTGTTTGCCTATCAGGCAAAGGATTCGGGACGATTACTCGGGTTCATTGGATTGGTTGCATCGCTGCTCCAGGGGTCAGTGGTGCGTCGCATGCACCCACTCAAGGTGGTTCAGATGGGAGTCGTCAGCTGCACCATAGCCTTTGTCATGCTGGGTAGAGTGCAGACGCAGGGCGCGCTCTATGGGGCAGCTGCCCTTTTGGCCGTGACGAGCGCGACGGTTGTGACAGGCTTGAATAGTCTGTCGTCTTTCGAAGCTGGTGCGGGCGAGCGTGGAAACAAACTAGGAAATCATCGAAGTTTTGGTAAGCTCAGAAGACACGTCGGTGAAATTGCAATTGCTAACTCTGTCTTTCTCAGGCCAGATTGGACGTTCTCTGGGACCCTTGGTCTTCTGCACACTATACTGGTGGGCAGGCCGAGAAACAGCGTATGCGACCGGAGCTGCGGGTATGGTGGCGGTGTGCGGATTGGTGTTTGGAGGGCTGAAGGTACCGCCTGGTACAGAAAACATTGGCAAGAAAAAGACGCAGAAGACAGTCGAGTAGACGTGATGTTTGGCTGTGGGTGTTGGTTCATGTATTAATACAATAGAATATATATATTTTTTTTCTGTTCAACGCCTTGTGCTTTCCTGGATCGCGGGCATGTCCAGCACCACGGCAGATCTGCAACTACACGAACATGTGGTGAGCACAAGACGTATTGGCATGATGTACATATATGTAGATACTTAATGGTCAACAGCCAGTAGTATGCAGGTCTCGACGCCATGAAGATTAGTCCGACGCTCGGTACGCCTGCCGCCGACCCGTTAGCCGCACCAATGCCGTTGGTTGGCTTAGGAGCAGATCTACGCGTAACGGCACCAGCTCCCCCGCACATACGAAGCCTAGCAACCAAGTAGACCTCGGCTTCTGCTTCTGTTTTGTCAGTGTCGCCAGGGATGGAGGCCAGGAGCTCGGTCCGGCGTGTTGGGTCCTTGGAAGGACCGCTATCGCCTTTATTTTCGGACAATGCTTCGGTCAGTATCTGTCCGCCTACTACTTAAACAATACGCACGCCCCATCGTGCAATAGAGCGGCGGTCAGGAACATGGACCCTTCAACCACTGCTGCCGCCCTGGCTGCAGCCTCCGCTCTTGCAGCATACGTCAATGCAAAGTATCACGTTGCGCAGGACATCAAGGCGTTGAGGTTTAAAAGAAGCTCGACAAAGCACTATGAACAGCTTGGTATGCATCTCCCGCATCTCCCCCTTCATCGGCTCGCAACGGCAACCTCTACAATCGCCTTTTACTCATGCTAAGCCTGTGCAGTGAAGACGAACCGCCAATCCCCATGGTACGCATTTCCCCGGCAAGTAGAGAGGTACGGCGACAACTTGTGCATCTGGTCCCGCACCAAAACCTACACATGGCGACAAGTCCATGACCGCGCCGTCCAGTGGGCCAACTTCTTCCTAGCCCAGGGCGTGAAGCCTGGCGACATGGTTGCCACCTACCTCATGAATAGTGCCGATTTCATGGTCATCTGGCTCGGTCTCCTCTGTATCGGCTGTGCCCCAGCCCATTTGAACTACAACCTGAAAGACGAGGGGCTAGTGCATTGCTTGAAAATCGCTGGAGCAAAGCTTGTGCTTGTTGATGAAGACGAAGGCTGTTTGGAGAGATTTGAAAATGTCAGAGCCACGGTGGAAGGCATGGGCATCAGTGCATTCAAGGTGGATGAGAACATGTTGGCAGAAGTTTATCAGGGAAGCACTGCGGTACCCGGCGATGAATTCAGGGAAAATGTGCGTGGGAGGGATCCCACATGTTTGCTTTACACGTCCGGAACAACCGGACTACCAAAAGCCGGCAAGTACATGGTCAGCCGGTTTCATGAAAGGGGAGATCCAGACCATCTCACCTTTGGTCAGAAGGCTGGGCCAGACGGCGACCGGTGGTACTGCTGCATGCCTCTGTTTCACGGAACAGGAGGAATGCTCACTCTGAGTGCCATGACGAGCGGCTTGAGCGTGGCGATAGGACGCAAGTTCTCCGTCCGCACATTCTGGGACGACATCCACGACTCGCAGGCTACCATGTTTGTCTACGTTGGTGAAACAGCGCGTTATCTACTCGTGGCGCCACCACACCCAAGAGAGAGGGATCATCGACTACGTGGCATGTATGGCAACGGCATGCGTCCAGATGTCTGGCGTCGATTCAAAGAGCGCTTCAACGTCCCAGAGGTCATGGAATTCTTCAACTCGACCGAAGGCGTACTGGGTCTGGTTGTCCACAACAAGGGCCCTTTTACGGACAACGCTCTTGCTCAGCACGGTGCCCTTGTCAGAGCAGCACTGCACAACATATACATACCCGTAGCTGTGGACCCAGAGACGGGAGAACTGCTACGCGACCCCAAGACTGGCTTTGTCAAGCGTAATTCATACAATGAAGGCGGCGAGATTCTAGTTGCAGTACCTAGTGAGGACGCATTTGCTGGATACCATAACAACCCGAAAGCCACGGCGAAGAAGTTTGAAAGAGACGTGTTCAAGAAAGGGGACCTGTACTATCGATCTGGCGACGCGCTAAGAAGAGATGACGATGGGAGATGGTTCTTCATGGACAGGCTGGGCGACACATTCCGTTGGAAGAGCGAAAACGTATCGACGGCCGAAGTTGCCGAAGTGCTAGGAAAGTTCCCTGGCGTCGACGAAGCTATCGTGTACGGTACACTGGTTCCCAGGCATGACGGCCGTGCTGGCTGCGTTGCTCTCCGATTAGCTCCTGGTACTAGCCCCGAGGCATTTGACTGGAAGGCGCTGCTGGAATACGCGCGAGGCAAGTTGCCAAGATATGCAGTACCCGTGTTCCTGCGGTTGGTCAAAGAAGCAAGTAATACGGACAATCAGAAGCAGAACAAGGCGCCGTTGAGGAATGAGGGTATCGAAATCGATAAGTACGGAAGCAAGGTTGTTGGGGGTGCCGACGATGTGGTCATGTGGATGAAGCCTGGTGAGGATAAATATGCGAGATTTACCCTGGAAGATTTGGAGGCGCTGAGAAGTGGTAAGATTTTGTTGTAGGGTAGTAGAAGGTTAAGGTATACACTAGAATTGCCGAATACACATACATATATACATAGTACCACTAACAAGATCCGGGCTCATGGCCCCATGGGTGAATTCAACGATACTCTTCATGCCCTTCCTTGGAGTGAACAATCGCCGTATTTTACAACTATTTTGTTTTTCGGGGTGTTGCAAGAGGAGAATAGTTCCTACGTAGTGCTTACACAACTAACTAATTATATGCAGTGTTGACTATACTGGTTGCAGAAACAAACAGCCAGCGCACGATTGGACGCCACTGGCCCGTCAGACGCTTCCGCCCCGTCTCCCTTTCACTCAAATGTACACTACTATGTATAGTGCTGACATATGTACCATGTCCCCTTCCATGCATGCGCAAGTGAGACACATACCCCGTGCCCTTATGCCCTTTATGCCCTCGTCCCGCTCTTTACATGCTACATTTCAAACTTCCCCTCCTTGAACTGTGTCACAAAGGTGCACACAAATCACACTGTGAGCGTTCAATACCAGGATTCCAAATGTTTCGTTTTTGCGGCCAAACTTACGGGCCGAATGCCGTTGCATCCAAGACTTGCCGCTTATCAAAAGGCGGGGCGTGATTGGTCCAATGCGGGGTCCATCAAGGTGCCATTGTTCCTTTTGCTTGGTACGGTAGGGAAGACACGCACACGTTTTGCCGAGGATGGTGGTGGGGGAGGGAGTTTTTTTTTTCACTTTCCTTTGCAGACAATAGTTGGGTTGAGCGGGACTTTTGTATGCTTCTTTGTCGTCATTACAGGCGGGTTGGTTATACACGGCTGGACACTACTACTAGTACTACCATGTCGGAATTGGAGAAGCGATTGGTTCGCAAGCTTGGTGTGTACTCCTGTGGTTCAACTTTTGGTTGTCTTGCTGCAGGTACCTAATAACAAAAAACTCGACAGATTGCTTTATTTTGGTCAGATTGATTGTTTGATACCTCAGGTCTACTGGGTGGGGCTAATTTTTTCCAACAGGTGTACTGCTGTGCTGCCTACTTTTTCAATTATTTGGATCGGTCTGCGTTCTCCAATGCCTATGTATCGGGGCTAAAAGAGTCCCTGAACCTGCATGGCAACCAGTACAGCATTTTGCTTTCCATGTTCACGGCTGGTAGCTGTACCGGTCAGATACCTCATGCCTTGATCATCCAAAAGGTTGCGCCTCGCTTTTGGCTCCCCTTCACCCTGATAGTATGGTCCGGTTTGACCATGTGTTCAGCGGCATGCAAGACATACGCCAAACTTTGCGTCGTCCGCTTCTTACAGGGGTTCTTCGAAGCCAGTCTGTACAGCGGTACCATCTATATCCTTGGATCCTGGTACAAGCCATTGGAGATTGCCAAAAGAACTGCCATCTTCACAGCTATTGGACAGATAGGCAGTATGTTCGCCGGTGTCATGATGACGGCAATGAATCAGAGTCTGCATGGACAAAGCTCTCTTGCAGGGTGGCAATGGGTCTTCATCATCAGTATGCATGCTACACTGCACAACCATTCCGATACTAACACACTCAAGATGGGGCTATGGGAATCCCTTTTGGCATATTTGGTCTGTTGTTCTTTCCAAATCTGCCAGAATCTCCCAACACTCCATACCTCAGCAAAGAGGAAATACAACTCGCATTGGACCGTCTGCCGCCCAAAAGAGATTGGGGCCACGATATCAGCCTCAAATCACTGGCAAAACGTCTTCTTGGGAAACCAGACATCTACATACTATCCCTCTACTCCATGATAGGATGCGCACTCGAGGCCATTGTTCTTCAGGGTCTGTTCTTACTCTGGATGAAGGCCAATATCGAGCAATTTCCCTCGTATGCGACGACTACGTATCCTCTGGGCGTCCAAGCCGTATCTATTGTTTCAAACATTGGAGCTGGCTACATCATAGACCTGACCAACCGCCGTATACCCATGGTCATCCTGGCCGGAGTCTTGCAGCTCCTTGTAGCAATTCTCCTGCTAGTTCCTAATCTTTCTACCGCTGGTGTGTTGTTCGCGTTCTACCTGGCTGGCACGTCATACATTGTGAATCCAGTCATGTATGGGTGGGCAAGTATCATCTGCCAGCGGAACGGCGACGACGCCTCGAGATCAGTCATACTTTACATCATGAGTATGGTGCAATCCATACTGTACACCTTTTGGGGCATTGCCTTTTATCCTGCGACAGATGCACCGTATTGGAAGAAGGGCTACATCACCATGATTGTAGTCGTGTTTGCTTTCTTTGGTTCAACAGCAGCTGTGCAATGGGTGCGTATAATCTTGTGAAGCATGATGGCTGGAAACTGACTACAAATCTAGTTGGACACAAGGTCAAAAATCACAGCAAGCAGCGAGGCAGAAGTCGTTTACATTGAGAGCGAAACAGCTGATGATCGGAACAAGAAAGATTGAGGCCTTGCATAAAAGATAGGGGTGGGCACACTTTTGTGAAGATACAAATTCGATAAAGTTCTTCGTATTCGGTAGTACTACGATTCTCCGCTAAGCTTGGGTCAAGTGATCAAGTATCGAATCGAATCCTATAATCCGGGGAATATACTCACACCCGTGATATTCCCATTGCATGGTCAGAAGGTGGTCCTGTGCGGTCTGCGCCGAGCCGTTGTACGGGTTCGTGTCTTCGAGAATGCGGCACATCTGCCGAAATCTTTGCCGTTATTCGATTCTTTTTATGCAAATCGTGTGTGACTTGGTGTATTTTTCAATGCAGAATCAGACCAGAACATGGATGTGCATTTGCTTGTAGTTGACAGCAAGAATTTGTGTAGCCAGGAGTAGCCTCGAATCACACACACACAGGCATGTACACAAAAAAAAAAGCAGTGAATCACACTCAGGCGAGAAGGTTGACGTGGGAAGGAGTGCAGGTTGGGCACAACTGCCTGGGTTTCGAGTACAAGAAGGGAAAGTTTCATAAGGGCTCGAGTGTTTGAGCGGACCTATATGTTGGAAACTTAAGGGACAGGTATGTGTAGAAAAGGACGTGCACAGGTTGTTCCCGAAGACAAGCGAAGTCGAGTCAAGTCATGCCATAGCCAAAATGGAATTCAACTTATTGAAGCTTGGGCCGACTCATTTGCAAGCTTCTCTCCGACCACACAGACATCGTATTCATGTCCGATGTCAATGCAGGTGCAACGCTGGACACAGGTCGGATAGAAGCCGTGGCGGACACCGCATTCGATGTGTCTTTGCTGGTGATGGGCACTGTAGCACTGAGCAAGTCAAGGTGTACTGGCTATAGCAGTCGACATATGGAAGGCCTGGTACGACCATTTGTTTGAGACGGAGGCGTTGTTTTATGCTCGTCCAGCAATGGCAGGCGAGTGAGAGAGAGGGGAGAAGTCAGGCCACGTACAGCCTCTGGGCCAGGTGTTTCGGGAGGCGAAGCCGTTTGATGCGTAGGATACATTGGATATGGAATTGGGAGATGTGACGACGGGAGTGGGCAGGCGTGGCGGTGACAGCTGAGAGGATCGGCAACGGGCTTGCAAGTTTCCGGTATCGCAGAACGTGGGGCAGGACTGGATTGCCACAAGGGGTCACAAACAACCGTTGACTTGGCACACGTATCCGCTGAACGTCGCGAGGGTGCTGTGGAGATTTGCATTCGGGCCTAAAGCTGGCTAAGGGCTTCATGAATTGATAACACGCTTCTCCGGTGCATTGCCTGCATACACATACTACAATGGTCCAACTTGCCCGGTGCCAGGATGAAGCTGCTCGTCCAATACGTAGTATAATCTTAGAATCCAACAACGTGATTAGTGCTGCAAAACGCCCCTGAACGCCACCAATTTCCTAGTCGCCATTGTGTCGACTGTTCGACTAGGCGAACAGGCCCCTTCAGGCGTTGTTACAGTACAACGGTGGCTGGTGCAAATCACAGCCTCGCCCTTCGTCCTCCACCATCACGGCCCAGACGGTGCTCCATGGTCACACACGCCTTACGCGCCTCACCTTGAACCCTTTCCCAATGACTGAATTTTTCTCAGCCTCAATTTCTTTTTCTTTCTTCTTTTTCTTCTTTTACTAGTCCCTTCAGCCTCGGTTACGTCTTGGCAGCAACATCCAGCCAGCCGTGTGCCCATGGGATGCCTTGATCTCTAGGGCGTGAAACGCCAAATGTGCGCACTGCATTTCTAGCCAGCTTCATTATGCCATCCGGTGAAGGTGACAACAGCTGCTCGCTCACGGTCGCGTTCGCCCACAGTTCCCACTGGACGTGACGGTTTCTCAAGCGAGAGGCCGTTCCACCGGATTTTGCCCCGTCACGTTTCAGATGCTCAGTGTGCCATGCTGCTCGAACACTATGAGTCTCGGATGAGGGCCCCAGACTCGTCCCGCTCCTTGACAGTCTCCTCATTTACGAGTAATGGCCTATGATTGCAGCCACAGCGGTGGGGCTATACCGACCGCAGATATCATCCACCCTCATCTACGCTGGGCCAGGGAAAGTAGTGTACAGCGCCTGATGCCTGCACACGAGCCGCACAGCCAATAAGACCAGCCATGCCACTCCTCTCCCACGCAGATGGCCTACCCCCGTGGCGCTCTGACAGCCTACACTACTTTAGCTAATCGACAAGTACCCGCCCCGGTGCCAGGCAAAAAATGTTTATGGGGCCGGACAAGCACGCAGCAAATCAGAGCAGAGCAAAACGCTCTAGTATGCATGTTTCGCCTCGAAAAACTGGATTACATGGTACATCCGGCCTACACCCGGTCCGTTTTCGCGACAAGCGTCGAACCTGCTAGCCATGGGTTCGCACATGGCAAGGAGAAAGTGGCAGGCTACTTGCTTGTCACCTACGAGTAAGGAATGAGGATGAAGCTCAATATATCAAGCCAATTTGGCAATAGCGGCCCTCTTTTGTCGATAAGAGCTGGACTCTGAGTCTGTCAATCCTTCTGTATGCATGCAGTGGCGCAGGCTTCGCCCACATATTACTACGCTCTTGCTGATTCAAGTTACTCTCATCACAGCGAGCATCCTTCGTTTTCTTCTTCTTCCCTTTGTCTGTTGTGTCTGCTTCTTTCCGGGGTTTCCGTTTCCTTTGACATTCTTCCTGCCACCAGATTGCCAACCATGGCGCACACAGCTTCTCCATATGTGCTTGCTCCTCGGTTACCTGATCCTTCAGTCCGCGTCAACCCTAACGACTACGCCGCTTCCGCTAAAGCACACGCTACGTCGAGAAAATACATGCACGACCTATTTCCAGGCCAGAATAAGCCGTTGCCTCTGCCAAAAGATACCGAAACGCAAAACCGACCCGTGTACGCAAAGCCATCTCACAGTTCGCGCCAACGACATGTCTTGGAGGAGCGGCTCGCCCCGATTCGAGCCTCAGAGGACTCCATCGACCGACGATCACTAGAATGCCTAATCATGCTCGATGAATCACCGGTCCGCGGACCTCAGAGGACGATGATGAATTCGAACCCTGTCCCAGCACCTCTCAACGTCACCAAGCGTACTCCTTCTCTTACGCGTAAAAATAGCACAACACAGCCACAGATTGAGCGGACACGTTCAGTCAAGGGACCCGGCCATAGCAACGTGACAAGACGCTCGCTACTCCAGCTCCCACCAGGTCTACTGGGACACATACTAGGCTACGTTTTTGCCGAAGAACGTGCTGTGTCGATTACACCATATCAATCGCGGATTACGCCTCAGCGCTACCGACATCGCCATGGTCCCAATGCTGTAGATATCCGATCCGTCATGATGCACCCTGCTCTCCGCGTGTGCCAGCAGATGCGCGCAATGGGACTGAATATACTATATCGTGACAGCCTGTTTCTCATCGACTTGTGCGATGCTCGCAGCGCTTCACATGCACACGACAGGGACGCGGGCGGCAAGCACTGGGATTGCTGGACAAATGGGAAACCTCCTTATATGGTTCAGTCTGTACTTAGCCACGCGTGCAATTTGCGCTTCCAGCTGCCCGTCTCGTGCTTGGAAACCGCACCGCTGCTGGGCGCGGCAAAGCGGAAAAAGGACCACCACGAGGACGGCTGCGTAGTGGTGGAATCTCTCCGCAGCATCGCAACACTGATTACGGGTTTGTCGACAGCTCTGCAGCCAGCACGGCCGCGGTCGTCAAGTCCAGTCGCACCAAAAGCGCTGCGGCGCAAGCTCAGCATTCGCGGGCTGAAGCGCCATGACTCGCTGGAATTCGTGTGCCGAGGCGATAACGTGCTCCAATCTCCGCCCCCGAGGGAGCCGCTGAGCAGGCTCGAAGTCGTCCTCGTGAAACCGGGTGCCACGGCCGAAGTGCACCCCCAGACGCTCGAGATGATTGCAATCTGCAGCAGCATCCCCGTCTGGGACAAGCTCGAGTACCACCTCGAGCTCGAGGGCGTGCGCAAGCTCTGGGCCAAGCGCACAATGGGAAAGTGGGTGGGCAGCGAACCGGATGCGGGTAAATTGGTGCTTGGTATGTTTTGGAACACGACCCGTCTTCTTTCCATCTTTTGCTAACTCGGGCTAGATCTCCAGGCTCTAGGCTATCCACACCCCATGACCGACTTGTCGCCCCAGAATGCTGGCAGGGTAGACATGTTTCACAGGCACAGATCGAGACCTACTCAGGACTCCATCGACGGCCTCACGCACAGGTATCTGCAGGCGCCCTCAAAAACTAGTCGCAGCCAGAGAGCGTCCAAAGAGGGTACCATGGCGCGGAAAATGAGGGAGATGGAGAGCCTTTCCAAAATGTCGCTGCTAAGAGGGGCCAAGCAGCCGCCGACCGTCGATGAGATTCAGCGCATGGCATCGGGTATTCGGTGAGGGCCTTACTAGACGTCAATACCATCAGTGTTATATCCCCTGCCTACAATACTCGTGTTGCCAAGTACCATGTTGAGAACGAACGTAATGGCTTCGTCATGTACCTCTGACCACTTCCGTCTATTCAACCATTGTCTACCATATATCCAAAGATATTCCTTGCGTATTCTAGCCACTCTAGCTTGCTGCTCTCTATTATAGTTTACCATCTGAGAACTGTACGACAGCCCACTTGCCACTCCATGCCCACTTTCGTGCTCCGCTGTCTCCTCCACCACCCTCCATAGCTCGGAGTCGCTCGTCTTCACCTTCTGGCAATCCAACCACCACGTCAGCTTTGCAAGTACGGAGCGCAAGTACACGGAGTCCTGAGCCAGGGCCCATAGGTCCAATGGCCTCGGTAAAAGGTGTTGTGGCGGGCCAGGCAGCCTATCAAAAAAAAACAATTAGCAGAGTCAATACATAAAGTGCTGACCACACTCACATCAGCAGTTAGCTTCCGGTAGTTCAGGTCGCCTTTGAAGATGACCAATTCGCTCTCCTTGAGGTCCTGGTAAAGCTCTGGTTCTATCTTGGGAAGTCGCCAGTAGCTTCCAGCCGCAGTCCAGAAGTCGTTGGGTCGCAGCATCAACTGACCCTCGGCATGGATAGTACTCCAGTGCTGGAACAGAAATTTCAGGTTGGAGCTCTCGGTTTCTGAAAGAGGTACAACCTCCTTTCCGTTGTGCTTCTCATCGTCAGATAACGCTTCGTAGAAGCCATGCGGGTCGGCCAGTGCGGACAGAAGGGCACCGAAATCGGCCGGTAATACATCAGAGACGAACCAGGGGATAGATTTGGGGTGGAAAACGACGTTCGTGGCGAGGCCAGAGGCGATGAGGTAACCGGCAAGTATCAGATCGACAAAAAGTTCAAAGCCAGCATTGTCGAGGACAATGTCAACGCGCCTCTCCTTCTTACCCCCCTTTTGTGCGGTAGACAGCACCTTGAAGGCCTTATCCAGGTCGTTGACCACAATGTTCTTCTCAGAGTTCTTGCGCGCCTCGGAGCCCTGCAGCTTTTGAATATCCTCATAAGACAGATTCGTTAAGAGCGAAAGATCCGTTGCATTGCCCCAAAGACAAATCTCGCACATTTCAGTGAAGAGAAGCTTCTCGGCAGCCTCAAGCTGCTCTTGGGTGTCTGCGCCGCTAATAGTCTTTTTCTGCTCCAGCTCGGTGACAATGTCCTTGTAGCGCGCTGCAAGTTCGAGAACGGCCGGGCGAGACGACTTGAAGGTAGCCATTTTCTGGCGAGCGAAGATGTCATATGAACGCCATTTGTCACTCTGTTTGAAGATGCTCGATATGCGTCTTGCTATGGCGGTTAGCCTCGATCACAACAGACTGAGACGCTACTTACCGGTACAAATAGCACTCGGCGTAAAGCCAGGGTACATTGTGCCACTTGGGATTGCCTCTGGCGGCTAGTTCCTCGTTGTACGCCTTGACGTCAGGCTCGCCATCATCGGGGATGGGCGTCAGCTCGCGGTCGTGTTGCAGCTCGTACTTGAGCTTGGCTAGTTCGGCAACAATGTGTTTGCCCTGGCTGATGGCCTCGTCTTCTTTGGTGCTGTGCAACGAACGATGGACGTCATCAATGCCTTGTGTTATGATGATGGGCCATCGCGAGCGCGCTGATGTGTGGGCAAACGATGTGGCGTCGCTTGTGCTGTATTGCGTAACGGGGAACGTGTCACACTCCATGATGATTGTGTACTTGAGCTGTCGTTGCGGTCCCAAATTAATGGGACAAAGAGAAGAGAATCTTTATAGTTGTTTGCGCCAGACGTTAAATTGTCAACATGGCGGGGCCCACCCATCTTCTCACGACAAATAACTTATTTGGCGGGGTCCTCGAGTTCGGAATTCCCTAAATGGGCTTAGCGCCATTATCCGCATCCCGTATGGCTTCCGTGCCTCGTCGCATACAGAGCAGCGACAAACGGACAATTCTCCCGTGAGGATACAGAAGGGCGAGCCATACTGTCTGGAATCGAGTATCGGTCCCGTTCATACCACGCAAGGGGCCTATAGGTGTACAGCGGCGCTAGGCCTTGGTCCCTACAGCGATCGATCCATGACGCTAACCCCTACACTGGTCTTGTCGACTTTGTCAAAATTTCTTGTATTTTGTCAACATAACCCGTTAGGATAACGTGTTTAACATCCTGCGGTTAGATTGTTGAATGGGTCGTAGGACGTTGCGTTCGACCACGCAACGGCGAGGCTGACTAAGGGCAACACACTGTCCTGGCACCCACAACATCCAACCAAGCACGACCCTTGCTTATTGTTCTCTTCTCCATGACAGCATCCAAATAAACGAGGCAAGGAAATATTAACATCATTAGTTCTTCCATCCATGGGTGTTGAGTGTATGTCCTCAAGGCACCAGAGCCCCAGGCTGTCGCCAGACCATGCCGATGACGTAGAGATTGAAGACGTGCAAAGTGAAAACCTTGTGCCGCCAGACGGTGGCTATGGATGGGTCTGCGTCGTCTCATGCTTCACAATCAATTGTTTTACTTGGGGCGCCGTTTCGGTGAGTACAACGCGAATGCCAAAGTCCCATGTTGTCCTCTACAGAGTTACAGGTAGCTGATGCAAGCTTCTAGGCATATGGCATCTATTTGTCTCACTATCTCGCAGAAGATCTATTCCCTGAAGCAACGACCTGGGACTATGCATTTATTGGGGGGTTTAATTTTGCCATAGCCATGGTCGTCGCACCCTCTGTGACCGTCTTGTGCCGCAAGTTCGGTATCCATGTCATCATGTGCTCTGGTCTGCTATTACAGCTTGCGGGCTTCATCTCAGCTTCCTTTTCGCATCGTATTTGGCAGTTACACATCTCTCAAGGTGTCCTGATTGGTTGTGGAATTGGCTTCCTTTACATCCCCTGCCTCCCCGTCCTCTCCCAATGGTTTGACAAAAGACGAAGTCTCGCAAACGGCATTAGCGCAGCAGGTTCTGGTGTCGGCGGTGCAGCATTTGCATGGGGATCAGAAGCTATCATTCAGCGATTTGGCATTGCCTGGGCACTGCGCATCACAGGCATACTCGCATTTACGGCAAACACCATTGCAACCACTTTCATCCGGGATCGGAACAAGGCCATTCGTCCGTCTCAATTAGGCTTTGATACAAAGTTGTTGAGGCGTGGTGATGTGCTCTTGCTACTCGCTTGGGCCTTCATCAGTATGCTGGGTTATATTGTTCTGCTTTTCTCTCTATCTGACTTTGCATTATCCATTGGGCTGTCACGATCTCAAGCTACTGACATGATTGGCTTGCTAAACATGGGCACTGCCATCGGACGGCCAATCATAGGAATTATCAGCGATCGATGGAGTCGTATAGACACAGCTGGAGCGTTGACGCTCTTGTGTGGAGTGGCATGTTTTGCCTTTTGGCTGCCTTCGACGTCATACGGGCTGACTGTTTTCTTCGTCATACTGTGCGGGGCTGTAGTGGGCGTTTTCTGGATGGTAAGTTGGCCTCTCATGTCATGACAATCTTGAAGCAGCACCATAGTAACACCGGATGCAGACGATTGGCCCATTGTGCGTCGAAGTTGCAGGGATCAAAGACTTGCAGTCTCTATTGTCTCTGTCTTGGGCGGTTGTCATTATCCCCTCCATAGGTATCTACATCCAACCAACCCTTGTGAAGTTTCAGTACATGACGCCCTACAGTATCCGAGGGAATTGCGCTCAAGCTTAGGCGCTCCCACTCTTCGCGAGAATATCTGTATGCTCAAATCTTCGCCGGTCTTTCTTACATAGTCGCCAGCGCATTCATGTTGCAGCTGCGCAGGGTGAAGCGTCACCAAGCTCGCAGTTGCTGAGCTGCGTACGTGGCTATTATGGTTCTAATGTAAGAGCAGGAACTTGTTACAGGCGTTGTTGCCTAGTCTGACGAGTGCACTTGGCGGAATGCTGGAGTCGAGATATAACAAGTCGTTTATCGTTCGTCCATTAGTTCTAGCACACGAGTATTTTTGACAGTACACTCCTCATCCCCAACGCAGCCCAAACTGGCTCTGATTCGACTACGATCTGCATCACCGCGCATCTCAGAAATAATGGTAGCAGCCGTCTCGCATGATATCAGCAGTCCGGTATCGAGTGGCGTTTCCTTGGGCATAGGGGTCGGGGCGCAGAAACAGCTAGCGGTATTAGGACATTCTGCATCCTCTTGCAGCATGGGAAACGTAGACGTGCTATTGTCATGACCAGTGCCGTCTGCCGGCTTGCAACACGTCGAAGCTGGCGACGCATCCATGGCGGCAGGGGCCGGTCGCTGGATAGACTGAGGCTCAGAGCGTGGTTGCGCTTGAGGCTGGGATGTAGTCGGCGCTAGCGGCCCAATCGAGGTTTGCGCAGGAGACTGTGTAGGGGGCGGCATGCACAAGGGCACCGTCTTTGGAACCACGACTTGGTGTGACACTGGAGTCCTTGGAAGCCCCGTTGGTACAGGTAGCATATGGGGTGCATGGCTGGGGGCAGTGGTGATAGGGGCAGTAGTGATGGGAGTGGTGGTCGTGGTGTTGAAGGAGCGCAGATATGCTTCCACCTCATGGTGCGTCACACCACGGCTGGCAAGTAGACTTCTTAACAGTGAATTTTCCTCGGCGACCTTGCGTGCGGCGCGCTGCATCTCCTGTGTGGCGGCAACACCCTTGATTTCATATTCTTGCACTCGGCGGCGCAAGTCCTGGATCAGCTCCTTGCGCTGGTTGCGCGAACGCCTCTGGTTCTCGCGGATGCGGATTGACGATGGTGTGTCACTTCCCTGTCTGCTGCTTAGCCACAGACTCAATGCCAGCACGAGGTTGCCCTCACAATCTGCTGGGAACCCACCTTCTTCGACATGGTTGGAGTTTGGTGGACGGGCGAGTGGCAAGACGGAGTGCCTGCAGGCGTGCATGGCAGATGCAGAGAGCCGCATGGGGTTCGGCGCTAAACCGAATTCGGTGGTCGCAATAGGATGGCTCTTTGCCCACATGCCAGTCACATCATCTACGTACTACATGTGTATTGTGTATGTGTACACACCTACCCCGTATCGTGTCACTTGGAATACGTGCGAAACACACGTATATATCTTTGTCCGTCTCTCCGGGCTGTCGTCCTTGCCCTCACCTCTTCGCTCCGTCCCTCCACCAGACTCGGCATCTGTTCCGTCATCTCGCCGCCATCAGGCCTCACCACCTTCCACATCGGCCCTAACACCACCCCGCATGCATACACTTTGTGCACTCCACTCTTGCTGTCTTAGATCGTCACACAAGCCGCCTTCACGCCGTAGACAAGTGACGAAAAGCCTTCTTGGCAGGCTCCGCTCTACGGGTCCTTGATATCCCCCCGCTCACATTGTCTCGCTACGAGGCATTGCAACGTCACAAAGGCACACAATGCACCATCTGCACCTGCCAGTGCTGCAAAGGGACATGCGCTATGACCAGACCAGGAAGCTCCCTTATCATTCACCGGGGGCTGGCAGATGCTATCCCCATGCCAGTGAGGCTGCTATAAGAAACTCCAACCCGCTCTGGTCTGCGGCTGCTGCGTTTCCTAAGCCATTCTTAGAGCTTAGCTTCTCCCTTCATCCATTACCGTCACCATGGTCCTGCATAGTCTCCCATTGCTTGGAGTGACTCTTCTTCTCACTGCTCTTGCCCATGCCCAGTTTCCCCCTACACCACGAGATGTGAAGGTTGTCCAATCACAGCTTGAAGAAGGTGTCCGAATCTCATACAAAGAGGCACGTGATATCCTACTCAGCCCGTTGACCGTATTCTTATCGTATTTAGACCAAACTGTGCGAGACCACGGAAGGCGTCCGAAGCTTTTCCGGCTATGTTCATCTTCCCGCCGGAGCACTCGCCGACTTGGGCGTCCAGGATCAGACGTATGAGATTAACACATACTTCTGGTTCTTCGAATCGAGAAAAGATCCTAAAAATGCACCCTTGTCGGTTTGGATGAATGGTGTGCAGTTTGTTGACACGTATATACAACACCATCTAACCTTAATCAGGCGGACCTGGGTCCAGTTCTATGCTTGGGCTCTTGCGAGAGAACGGACCGTGCTTTGTTCATTCCGATTCAAACAGCACCTATATCAATGAGTGGTCGTGGAACAACGAAGGTTGGAAGGCCCAAACTCAGGCCAAATCACGGCCCATAACAAGTGCTGACCCAGCCTAGTGAATATGCTATATCTCGACCAACCGGTACAGGTCGGTCTTAGCTACGACAGCTTGGTCAACATTACCACCAATCTGGACACAGGTGAGCTGAAGGTTGTGGACTTCCAGAATACCCCAATCCCTGCCCAGAATAACAGTTTCTATGTCGGCACCTACCCTAGTCAAAACTCCAATTTCACCACGCGAGGCACTGAAAACTCAGCACGAGCCCTGTGGAACTTTGCCCAGATCTGGTTCCAAGAGTTTCCTGAGCATAAGCCCAATGATGACAGAATATCAATCTCCACAGAATCTTATGGAGGTCGTTATGGGCCCGCCTTTGCGGCCTACTTCCAGGAACAAAATGAGAAGATTGAAAACGGAACCTGGAATGAAGCTGGGGAGACGCATATTCTGCATCTCGACACACTTTTGATCATCAACGGCTGTATTGATCGATATGTCCAATGGCCAGGTTACCCTGTCATGGCATACAATAACACTTACGGCATTCAAGCCGTGAATGAAAGCCGCTATCAGGAGGTGCTCGACAATTTGTACCGCAAAGGAGGCTGCCTAGAGCAGATTGAAGTCTGCCGGAACTTAAGCCTCGCATATGATCCCACCAATCAAGGCTTTAATACCACAGTTAACGAGGCATGTGAGGCTGCGGAGACTTTCTGTTCCGAGAAAATACGGGACCCCTACTTTGATACCGATTTGAATTACTACGATATTTCTGCGCCTGGTGCAGCATCATACCCTCCGCCATGGTATCAAGGATTTCTCAACCAACCTCATGTACAACAGGATCTTGGAGTATCGCTCAACTGGACCCAGTCAAACTCGGCAGTGTCCAAATCATTCCGTAGTATAGGTGATTATCCACGTCCGAATTGGAAAGAGGACTTGGCCTACTTGCTTGAGGAGGGAATCAAGGTCACACTAGTTTACGGCGACCGCGACTATGCCTGTAACTGGTATGGAGGAGAACTTCTCTCTCTTGCTATACCGTACGAGAACGCCACTTCGTTTGCCAAAGCGGGTTATGCGCCCCTAGTGGTGAACGATACATATATTGGTGGCCAGGTACGCCAGTTCGGTAACCTCTCATTTACCCGCGTTTACGAAGCTGGCCACGAAATTCCCGCCTATCAGCCGGAGACTGCATATAGGATCTTCATGCGCTCCTTGTTCAATCGAGACATTAGCACTGGTAATGTTTCAACTGCCAACAATGCCAGTTACGCGACCGAAGGACCAATGCATGTGTCCAACATCACCAATGTACCGATCATCGATCCTGGAGCTCAGTGCTATGTCTTGGATCCTGGCCAGTGTACCAAGGAGCAGTGGAAGTCTGTAATGAACGGCACTGCCCTGGTTCGCAACTGGATAGTCGTGGATGCCAATACCAGCCACCTTTTTCCAGACTTGATATCCAATAGTACTACAGGGAATGGAACGATTCCGTCGAACACAGGCAGCTCGGTACATCTCTATACGAGAGCTGTGTCTGGCGGTTACTTTTTGAGTGCTTTCAATAAGGCTTTGTTTGCAGCAGGCATTGGGAGTCTCCTGATCATGTAAATTCTGACTCATAATCGAAAATACAATGAAGTATGCTGTTCCCAAGCGTTCAAATTATTCAAATAAACAACCTGACGGGCGTAAGAATCACCAGAGGAGGAGTAATGTCTAGGCGATATTCCTTGAGTGCAATGGCTATCGGCTGAAAACATTGGTTGGTCTGGAAGCAGCCGTAATCTGCGTTGGATCATGTATGAGCTAGTGATTGAAATAGCAACCGTATTTCATCACCGTGCGGTTCGATTCGGAGCTACACGGACTTCTCTTTACTTTTTCTACTTTCCATTCCTCCTATGTCACCCATTGTGGACTTGAGGTTGACATGACGTCATGACTTGTGCCTCCCGAGATCAAAGCCTCACTCTGTGAACATTACCTGTATGTTGGCATGCCATCTTCAGCACATCACGAAACCATTCTTTGCAAGCAATCCCTCAAAATGACGAGAAACAAGTATTCTGCATTTCAGAAACACCTGTTGTTCTTCTCAACCCCTACAACCCCACCTAGACTAACGTTCAAGTCAGCCTTGCGGGCAGGGGTGTCCCTCGGACTAGACTTTCCCGTGGCAGTCTTGCTGAGTGTGTCGCTGAGAATCCTCTATGCGCCATTTCCCTACTTCTGGTCTCCTATCATTGTCGACAAGATCCCAGCTTCGTCTCACCGCACTCAGCTGGAAAATGCCACGCTTCCACATGGGAAGACCAACTACACATGCTCCGAGCTTCTGTCTCTTTTGCAACAGAGCGAAAATGGTGGACGTAACAAAGCATGGTTGTCACACAAAATCGACCAAGGCCACATTGTGGGATTTTGGACCATGGCAGCAAATACACGGTCGCATACTGTTAGCAAAGAGGATGTCGAGCGGTTTCAGCAAGGCAACTGGGAAGACGCTGTTGTCGAGAGACGGAGAGGGCGTCATGACGTGTTGCCACTCTGGAGAGGCGGACCTATCTGGATAGGTGGCCATAGCTGGGCCGTCCGTACGATACTAAATGTTAGGGTCTATGAAACCAAAGAACTCTAGTCTTCCACAGACATGATAAACCGTTGTAGATGGTTTTGGGTCATGAGTCTTTTTAATATATAATACTACTATTCTAGAGTGTTCGAGATACTCTACTTACTATTGACCGATTCTGGAATAGTTTTAAGAATGTGGTATTGCACCACTTCATTTATGTAAGATTAGATGGGGGTTGAAAACCAAGACTTTCGCTATGTTTTTTTTGAGGCATCAGATCATGATGCTTGTAACGCTGCATCTTGCGGCTCTCGCTCTTGACAATGCATCTAGAAAGCAATTACCAGGATTCGTACATGGAGCCAATTACAACAGCTTTTGGCAAGCTTTCCAAAATAGGCGTCGAAGTGGATGTGGCCAGTTGATGCGCCTGGACGCAAGCAGCCAGGTACAGTACTCGAAGCTATAAGATTGGTCGAGCTCGTCAAAGCATTCGAGGCGCCATATTGCGGCTCTTGTTTTGGCGACCAAAACGGTGAGAAGTAGTCATGTCCATTTGGTGTGCTTGGCTCTTGAATCAATTTACCTCAAACACGTAACAAGACGGAGAATTCCTTGGCCAAGTCGGGCCCGAGCCATAGCTGCTTGTTTAGGGATACAGGAGCCTGTAGCATGCTCCGCGTGCATTGGCCACATTCGGAGCTTCTTTCGCTGTACTATTGTCGCAAGTTGTAAGTAAACGCTGCAACTGGTTGGGTGCGCGTATGGGTACTACGTAAAGTTGCTCACATAAGTGCCGATATCGGCGCCTTAGGGTACCTGCTTGCAAAACCACTGAGAATGATGCAACTGCATGATCCAGCTGCCTGTGAGCTGACAGCACGCCGGTCATATGGATGCCTGGGGCGGCTTCGAGAAGCGCGAAAGGTGACAGACTCCAGACTGGCGACGCTTACTACGTCGTACTACTACTACTACTACTAACTAGTACTGGACGGGACTAGCCCCTTTCTTGGATCTCCCACAACCCACCACGTACAAACACCATACGTCGCGCAATCTACGTCCAAGACTTAACGCATACACGCCGTCGCGCTCGTATGCCACTCTGCGCCCAAGTTCAAGTAGTCCACAACAGCCAAACGTCAAAATCACGTTTTGTTCCAGCCAAGCCACTCACTCTTTCATCAAGCTGTTTTGCGCCATGGCAAAGCGTCTCGTTTCGGCTAAAACACGTCAGCTCATCTATGGTGCCCTATAGACTGGTAACATAAGTCAATGCTACTAGGCGCCTCCTTTACTAAATGTGCTCTGCAGTAGATTAACTTCTGCAGTTGTGTCCTCAAGTGCGATACAATCCCATCTTTCTCGTGTATGCTGTCTTTGTCGCGAGATCTTTTCAATTCCTTCTTTCTTCACTAACGGGCAGGTCTCCCAACAACGTTTCTTTTAATTACCCATGTCTTTGAGGTCAGAACAATGTCCAGTCTCTGGTATGGCTGGTGGCCATTGCCCAGCGGAGTCAGCTGCTGCTAGCAAGAACGGAAGTCGGATGGGTCCCCGAGGATGTACATTCTCTGGATATGCCGCGCCTGGAGATGTGCATGCTGCGTTTGGAGTAAGTGCAAATCCCACGCACTCGGAAATGCCGTTGCTGATGACGATAGATACCGCAACATGCCAACGTCGAAGAGTTCCTTCGGCAAAGGTGGGCATACCTTTAATTCGAGCTAGCATGCGTTTGCTAACCAATCTAGGGAACGTAAGGCGATCAACGAGCTGATCTATTCTAACGTGCCTTCAATGGCCGAGATCAAAGAGATTCAAAATGCCAAGGGCGTCAAGAGTCTCGACACCCTCAACATGGATGAACGAGATCTACTGGCAATTGCGCTTGGTGCACCCGCTCGTCAAGTCATACTACGAGCGGAAGAAGTCGGCCCTGCAACAGGCTGGCGAGATGGCTACTTGAGCACCGAGTATGGCTTCCAACCTCCAGACACAAGCGAGGCTCCTGGGGCCCTACGAAACTCTCCAGGAAGAGTATGGATGGATCTGTGCACAAGAATGCCTGGCTGTGTTGCTCGTGGTCGAGTGCGCGAATCAATCGCAGCGTTACCAATCATCCAAGGAACAGCCGACACAATCCCAGACAAGGCTCTATGGGCAGCTCTCGTCGCCCTTGGTATGCTTTGCTCTATCTACCGGTATGAAGAGCGACATGATGGCAATGAGGGCATCAACGTAGCTGCGAAGCCTTTCAAACTGAAAGGTGTTCCCATATGCGACGACCTTGGCGACGAGGTCCAAGGCATTCCTCGCAGCATTGGTCTTCCGTATGTTCAGATTTCGATTCGAATGGGTCGGTCCATTCCCCACCTTACCTTTTTCGACCAGTCGTCTTTCAATGTCGACTACATGGATCCACTGTCGAAATACCCCTATGTCGGTCGCTTTGACAACATCAAATTGCGATGGGGCATGTTCGGTGACAGCGCTGAGAATGCGTTCCTCAAAGGTTGTGCTGATACGTCAGCGAGCTTTCAACATGGCCCTGATGCCATTGCGGCATGTCAGGAACACGTCATGAACCGTAACAACGAGGGACTTCTTCGTGAACTCATTCGCTTGAAGGAGATCTTGGAACGAATGCCCACAGCCTTCAACACCATATCCCCTAACGATAGGTCTGGCGAGAACTATGTGTCTCCTACTGAGTGGGTACGCTGGGCCAAGTTCTCGGCGCCTTTGTCCAAACGATGCCCAGCTACTTCTGGCCTACAGTTTCCTCCGTAAGTTAACCGGTTCATCTGATAGTTCTTTTTACTAAAACATCTAGGTATCTGGTCATGGATGCTTTCCTTGGTCGCAAAAAGTACAACTCATTTCTTGGCGCCGAGGGTGTACATCTTCGAGCCTGGCTACCATCAAACCTCCGTGCTTTCATTGCTTCTATTGAGTATCACTATCAGATACCGGAATACGTGAAGGCATCTGGAGACCCCAGATTGATAGGCGTGCTCGATGGCGTGGTGGAGGCATACACTGGTGAGCGAGGCTTCATGGGTGCCCATCGTTACAAAGTGTTTGGTGTAAGTATGTTCTAACCAATGCGCTGATCCAACTGACATCGAGAAGCTACTCGAGTGCGCCGGAAAGTCTGGTCGGACTGAGACAAATGGGGCTTCTGGAGCTGCTGATGCTATGAGACCCTGGGAAAAAACGCATGCGGAATTTTCCGAGGCCATGAAGGAACGTCTGGAGCCTTTCCGTGGACAACGTGATATCGAGCCACATGAGATGCGTGGCACGTTCGAAGAGTGCCGATACCGAGGCAGGATCCTAAGCAGGAACTTTGTCGACTCGGACCCCAAGCGCTCGATCGCCATGGTCACTTTGGACATCCAGGACACCGGCATCACCTTTCAGCCTGGCGACCGACTTGCTGTCATGCCAATGAATAGCTGGACAGAGTGTGCGAAGGTTGCAGCTGCGCTAGGCCTTGATACTATGCTTTCAGACCCTGTTAGTCTGGACCGTATATGGACACGATATGCTGCGCACATGGGCGCCATCTCGCATACAGATAAGCCCCAGCTCACTGTCATTGATATCCTACGGAAAGGTCATCTTGCGCCGATAACCAAGAAGCTTGCTACAAAGCTACACACCCTGCTACGAGCGTCATCGCATGTCGTGTTGCAGGTCCTAGCCACAGACGAATGGCCTGTACGAGCCTCACTCGGTGACTTACTTCAAGAAGCTGTGAAAGACACTTCACCACGTATCTGGGACCAAGCATTCGACCTCTCTGGCAATCTGGCCTGGTTGACAGATCTCATTTCTGTCGAGGTACCACGCACTTACAGTATCTCCAACTACTCTGACGAACTTCTCCCCAGCACCGTAGACCTGGTATGTGTTTTTTCCTTGGGATGACATCAGAAATTGACATATATAGACAATATCTCGTTCGGAGTATGACCTCTGCCCTTTGTTCGCGGGCACTGAAAAACATGTGCGAAACGGCGTTAGCAGTGGTTTCCTAAACCCGCCAGTAGCGGAAGAGATGGACGT